CTAAGGCTAGAAAGAAAAAATTATAAGCTTTCGAATGATGAAACAAAAAAGGGGGCTCAACACATTAATTAATAAAATATTTTAATGTAAAGAGTGACAAGAGTCGAAATCGTGAGGTTAAAATGTTTTGCGCGATGCGGTCACAGCACGAAAAATGCCGCGCTATTTGAATTTTGAAGCGCACAATATATTATTAAAACTTAAATGCATTACGTAATATATTTATTAAATATTATTTGCTTTTTCCATCTTGTTAGTAATTAAAAAACGTGCTAATTGAACGATACACGCGTAGACATGCGTAGATAATTACCCGCGTGTTCGACTATGTATAAAGTGTAAATACTACAACCGTAGCAGACGTGCGCACTAGGCGCGACGCAACCGCAGTCAATGCGTAGATGCAAGAGGTACGACGCGTAGAACGCACGAATGCAGGACAGCTACACGCGCTCGAGCCTCCTTTGAAATTAGTTATGAACAATAAAATACCGCGTCCCGTAAGAGCCCGTGTTAAAATTGCGATTTTCAAACTTGTTTATCTCGAAAGTTAATTCGTCAACCACATTTTTTTTTTGGAATCTCATTTTGAAGATCTAACAAATCGATTGATATAAGTTTTATCATGTTGGATGATCTTTTGTATAATGTGTAGAGCCCCCTTAAAATGTGTTCGTAAGCCGCTTCTGCGCAGAAGAGCGATGCTGCGATTGGCTTGCGCTATTGTACTCAAGAAGACGAACATTTTATGTACAGATCGTTTTCACTGTCGTCAGTGTCAGTCACAAATCGATTAGCCGATTTTCTCAAAGGCAAAATAAGCTTTTTTCAAGTACTCATAATTAGTTTTAAGTGGAGTAAAAAATTTTTAGATGAAGCAGAAGTAAAGTCTTTAGTTTCTACATGAAAAAATATTAAAAATTCGGTTTTTTTATGCATGGTACTGTCAATAAAATCAAACACAATGGTTATTATATGTTTTTTCGTATTGCAATACAATTAAATTACATTGTTTTTTTGTTTTTCTTTGATTATTGGAACGAATGAAAACGTCCCCAATTGAGAGTTTGTAATGCGATCCGAAAAATCAGGTCGCCATAGAGCCATTTAGAGAAATATTCACCAGAAGTTTCAGAAAACTGTATCAAAATTTTGATTTTTGGGCTGGGGTACGGATCTCCTTAAATGGTATCTAGAGTCTAAATGCAGAATTTCATTTCGAGTTATTAAATTTTTAATTATGATATTGTGCGAATTATCCAGATAAATTACTATTGAATTTGCATCGAAAAAGTTATAAAATAGCTTGAATTTGAATCATCGAAAATTTCGAATGATCGAAGTTTCAATTATCGAAGTTTTACTGTATAGAACTTTTTTTTCAGAGACCACAATCTTAAAATTAAAACATTTATCAGTTTTCAAGGGATTTCCATGCACTCCGTCAACGAAAAGATCTGCATTAGAAATATTTCATGCCTCGTTTACTTTCAAAATTGGATCGAGCCATGTCATCATAACCATGGTCGAGTCATAGTTTACACTACCACTTTCAGTCATTCATTGCGAATCATCAAAGTAAACTTAAACGGTATCTAGAGTCTTAATGCAGAATTTCATTTCGAATTTTGAAACTTTCGTACTATAATATTTTGCGAATCATCAAGGTAAATTGACATTGAATTTACATCGAAAACGCTAAAACTAGAGCTTAAATTTGAATTATCGAAGTTTAACTGTATCAAATATTTGTTCATTAGAGACATTCATCTCAATATGGAAATATTCATAAGTTTTCAAGGGATTTTTATGTACTCCGTCAACGAATAGATCTGCATTAGAAATATTTCATGCCTCGTTTTCTTTCAAAATTGGATCGAGCCATGTCATCCTAGCGATGGTCGAGTCATAGTTCACACTACCACTTTCAGTCATTCATTTCGAATCATCAAAGTAAATTTAAATGGTATCTAGAGTCCAAATGCAGAATTTAATTTCGAGTTATTAAATTTTGAATTATGATACTGTGCGAATTATCCAGGTAAATTACTATTGAATTTACATCGTAAACGCTATAAAAATTGCTTGAATTTGAATTATGGAGAATTTCGTGTCATCGAAGTTCAAATTATCTTAATCATTAGTCTTAATGTTGAAACATTTATTAGTTTTTAAAGAATTTTGATGTACTCCGTCAACAAACAGATTATTGAATGACCCCCATTTGGTAATATTTTTTGCTTTTTTATTTTATAATGGAAGTAAAAATGAACTTCTCTTCATAATTTTGTCATTAATTATATATTTTTGTATATCGGTAAAAACGCGAATAATGCCCCAGTGCCACACGTGGGCAGCGAAAACCGCCAAATTTCTCAGTTTTGCACTCGCTCGTAAAGGCTTTTACAAAATTTAAAAAAATAAACCAACGTTTTCGCAAGGTTTTTTTTCTCGGCTTTCTTCTATTGAGGTCGAAAGTGCAGAAATATGCCTCCATAACTTTAAAAAATAGACTTGAAGATAAAACACGTTGTAACTTCCAGAGTTCAACTCCGATCGACTTCCTGAGCAACTAGATCGAAAGATCTCGCCATATTGCACAAGAAATGACTTAAAAAGGGACATTCTCGATTTTCTCGAGCGGTGAAGAAGGGAAGAGCGTTCGGCCGGCCCTTTTTCAGCACCGTCGCCTTTTTTTTCGCTACACTTTACGTTTATTTATCTATCACGCGTTTTCTTGTGTCACAAATATAAACAAATATATGTTTCTAGTGTATTTGTTCACTCATCTCTTCAATGGTGCAATTAGTTTTCGGTAAAATTGCTTTGTTTTGCGATTAAAACGAAAATAATGAAACTATTAATCGAAAAAGTTAATTGATCTGTTCTAAACAGCCAATTTTCCAAAAAATAATTTTACCACTGGAAAGATGAAGCAAAATCACACAAAAACCATGTATCTGTTTATTTTTATGGCGAAAGTATAACGTGTGATAGATAAAGAAACGTAAAGTGTATCGAAAAAACAGGCTGCGTCACTCGAAAACGGCTGACTGGGCACTTTCGATGTTTTCGATGTAAAATTAGAGTTATCGTATATGTAAAATCGCGAGAATTTTCGATCTAGCTACTCAGAAAGTCAGTTAGAGTTCAACTCAAGAAGTTACAGCTTCCAGATCTTCAAGTCCATTATTATTATATTTTTGTTTATTACAGATTGAAAATATACAATATAGTAAAATATACAAAAATATACAAAGAAAAATTTCAGCTCTATTGCATAATAATATTTTTACCTTAAGAAAATGGGGTATAAGTAGACGATTAGAAATTGTAATAAATTGGAAGGTACATTTATTCAATGGAATGTCTTCAAATAAACGGATTCATAATCACTGTGATTGTCAAAGGTTAAATAACTCTGTTGAAGGTATTTTTATTTATGAAAGTGTTATTTTGATTATCCATTTTTAAATTTTACTACTTTTTACAAATATTTTACCGCAACCATCGGGTCCTAGGAATTTTTTTCTGTCGAAAATACAAATTTTTGCCTCTAGAAGCCATCACCTTCAATTCAAAAATCTGAAAAAATTTCAGGTTATGTATTTTGATGAAAAAGACAGGAAAAAAATTTTCCAGATGTTTAAAGTCTCTAGTATCGTCCTAAAAAAGTTAGTTTTGTTAGAAAAGGGGCCTTTGGCTTCAAAGGGTGCGTTCACTATTTCGAAAAAAATTTGAAAAAATTTCATTTTACATTTTTCAATGAAATAAAAAAGTGAACAAATTTTTCGAAACAGTTATTGCATCATATCGCCGTATCTAGGCTTTTGAAATTTTTAATGATTTTTTCTGAAAGCCTGAAGCACTCGAAAGATCTAAAAAAATTCAAGGTTGTTTGGATTACTGACAAATACCATTAAGAATTTTTTTAGATTTTTTAATTTCTTCAAAGCTTCAGAAAAAATTTGATAGAAAATGGGCGTTTATAAGGGCGGAGAGGGGCAGGAGGGGGGAGGGGGTCGAAAATGTTGGTTTGGACACTTTTTTATCGTGTACTATAACATACCAAAAGTGCGTCAAAATCGATGACACGCGTGTGGATGAAAACTTGAAAAAGGATTATTTCGACCCGAAAGTATTTCAAGCTGTATTAATTTCTCCGCTTTTGAGAAAAACCTTTCTTCTATTGTGAAAATATCTGGATTATTTAGAGAATAAGATTTGATGCGTAGCTGAAAAGTTATGATCGTTCCAAAGCAAAAAAGCTTTAAAATCATGATATTTGGCACAGATTTTTTCATTTTTTCGTGTTCAAACGATAATAACTTTTCAACTACGCGTCGGATCTCAAATTTGATCCAGAATTTGATAAGGTCATTCAATTCTACGCCAAACTATGTAATTTAAAAGTTTTCCCAAAGCCCTAAACGTGGAAAAAATTCCACTTAGCCATTCATTCTGAGAGTTAATCGGTTAAATGTAAATATCGATTTTAATTTTAAGGCACGGTTTAAACTTGGACCTATGGGTTATAAACCGTACTAAACATGTTTTTATATCATTCAAAAGTTATATCAATGCCTGGAGTAAGGATTTTCAATGTTTGGGAAATAACGTACACCCTAAAAATATTGATGCAAAAGCGCGGCCTGGTTTAATATGCGTATCGTAAAACATGCAACTCATTATCGATGTTGTTAAAATCCGCATGCTATGTCTCCAGATAAATGTTGTATGAAGATTGGTAAAACATGTAGACAACTCTCGATACTAGTTACGAAATCTAGACATAAGGCGAAATTTCGATTTTCTAAACTGAAACATTTTATTGAGATCATGTTAAATACATATGTGACATTTTGAAAATATGTTCCTGTATTTGTACACTTCGACTGTTATGTTTATATGCGTATGTGTAAGAGCGCGAAAACTCGATGTTGACGTGAGTCTGATTTTACATTTGTATAATTGTTAGTATTAATAGTAACGTGATTGTTTTCGGATCTCACAAATCAAATTGTGGAACATTAATTAATCCATTTTAAGTAAAATATTTATAACATTTATTAAACATCAAATAGTTTTGAATATATTATTTCATCAGTATCGAAGCATTTGGCACACGGAAAAAATGGGGCCAAATCGAGAATATTTTCTAACAAGATCGAGTGCTGACGTTCTCATTAATCTGGTAAATTATTTAAATGATAACGAAATTGAAGAAGAACAATTACAGGATCAAAATGTTTTGAAGACTATAATGAGTGAGGGGATGAACAGATATGTAAACTATCCACCTCCACCAAAATATTTAGACACACTTAAAAGTACGATTCTAACTTTTACAATGGATTATTTGAAAACTGTAAATTTATATCGCATCAATACCGCCGTACTTCTCGTGGGATGCATTGAATATATTTTGTTTCCCCAATTGGACGATGAAGAACTGAGAAAAATATATTATGGTGGTTACGAGAAGGCGAAAAAGATATATAATAAATTGCGTGGTTTCCCAGAACAGAAAGAACAAAACAATAAAATAGTTATAGCAGCTAAACAATTTTTCGAATGCAAAATGTTTTTACGAAAAAGTGAATTGTTAAAAACGATACGAAATTACTTGAGAGGCCTTGAGATAGACTCTAACGAACTGCATTTTATACGAACAAAATCTATTGAAGTAATGTGAGTACATTTTTTAAAAGTGACTTATATAATTTCTTACTCAAAAATAATTTATAATTTTCAGTAAAGAAAAGGCAGCTAACGTCATTGCTCAACTATCAGTAAATCGTAAGGGTACCATCGAAGATAATCTACTCACGTCTGCTCCTGAATTGAGCGTGTCGAAATCAGTAAACCATAAATCTATTTTACCTAACTCTATTAAATTAATAAACAAAAGAAAGCCACTCCTCATAACTCGAGAATATCTTAATGCTAAATGTAATGCAGAGGTTATAATAAATTTGCAAGAATATTTAATTTTTGAGGAAGTTGAAAAAGAAAATTTAAATGATGAAAATCTTAGTAATATCATTCGTAAGGGTATGAAAAAACGTGTGAATAGCTGGCCTAGACGAAGGGAACTCAACACATTCAAACGCACACTTCTTGATTTGACAACTGACTACTTAAAGACAATACATTTATATCGTATGAATTTTGGGGTATTGCTGGTTGTGTGTGTCGAGGTATTATTACACCCAGGGGAAAATAATGAAAACTATCTAATGGTATATCGTTGTGAAAAAGTCAAAGCAGTCCAAGAATATAACAAACTGCGTAATTTACCAGCAAATCAGAAACAACCAGTGGATATAGCTAAATCAGCTAGATCTTTTTTTCGTTACGATGCGTTCTTGAAGGAAAATGGATGTTTAAAAGCAATACGGTCTTACTTGAACGCTATATCTGATTATATTGACGATGACGAGTTATATTATGTAAGAGACACTTCAATTCAATTTATGTAAGTAATTACTTTGAAATTTTTAATAATACTTTTTATTCTAAAGTTATATTCAATTTTTAGACATGATAATGCAGCTAAGTACCGAGTTGAACCGACACAAAATATCATTCATCCAACCGATGATCATTAACTTTACCCAAGAACGATCGACAGCTTCGTCTACCAACGCAAAATGTGCCATTGGTAAAAGTCTGATTTATCAATCGTATCAGAAACTCTGAGTCCAAAACTCTTTGGACCAGATAGTATTGGCTAGGATATCCAATTCGAATTTATGATCAGCAAAAATTGTAGAAGTTCGCAATTATTTGTTGTGTGCTGGATTTATTTTCTATCTTCTATTCTATATATTCTATATATATTCTATATATATTCTATAAGTAGAAAAAGTCGGAATCCCATCCAAAAAAGATATTGAAAATCCACTGAAGAAGATATGAATAACACTAATACCTTCACATGAAACCCTGAGTTAACTCGAGAATATTTTATAATTCTAGTCGCATTAACTGTCCCCCGAATAAACAAAAAAAAATTTGTCAATGGAATATATCAAATCTTTTAAATATTAAAGAATAAAATTGTAATTTAGATATGAATTTATAATTTTTTTAATGTAAATGATATTTTATAATAAAAATGATCGGATCTATAGCGTTAATATCAAAATTAGTCTTTAACCATCAATAAGTTAATGTCCTCTTTTCTTAACTTACTATAACACTTCACACAGCGCTTATAAACTGCTTACGCTAAAAACCTCATCACTCTTATAGGATAGGGTATTTTGAAATTTTTTTCCATTCTTCGCCAAAAAATTGGACACTCAATTCCGAAATTACTCACATACGTGCGCACATACACATAAACAGTCCCGCACATACATTTTCGCGGTGAAAAGTGGATATTTTGGAAAATCAAATAGTACCACCAAAAAGCTGAGTAAATTTCCTATCGAATACAGTAGTCAGTTGAATTTTTTAGATGAGTTTTGATTCTTTTTCAACGACTTGGAAATCGAGTAATAAGTCGCATTTTCGTAAAAAGATGACTTTTCGGCTTCTAAAACACAAAAGTGCCCCAAAAAAATTAACTATTTTCAAATTTCACGTTCACGCGTTTTTTTTCACTCCTAGAAGTCCTAGGAGCAATTTGCGGGGGTCCAGGCCGCTATGCACACAAAAAAAAATTTCACCTTTTTTTGTTAACGAAACGGAATTTTATTTTAAGATTTGACCATATAACAATGGAATCGGTTCATTTGTTCATTAAAAACGCCTCAATTTGCAATAAAAATTACAAGCACTTACAGACATCGTAAGAATACTTAGGTGGGCTCAAATCAAATGTAATTACTTCTACTCTTGTACAAAAAACTTAGTTTTATCATAGATTACAAATCACAGTCGGAAATATGCTGCAAATGAATAATTTGTTCATTGACACTTGAAGTTTCTAAAACCGTTTGAAAAATTAAAATACACGGGATAGAACGCGATTTGGAGCGATGTTACTTATTTTTGGAAAATCAAATTTTATTGTTCATAATAAGCCTGCAGCTTATGACAATTTTGACACCCGAAACGTTACAAATTTTCAATCGGTTCAAACATGATTTTTCTGGAACCTTATACCTAGGAGCACTAACTGTAAAAAGTTAGACAAGATTACATTACTAGACAAAAGTACATAATTTAAGAAAAAAAATTTTTTGACCATCACGCTAACTATGGCTTAGCCCATATACTTTTGATTAGAGGCAATATACGCATAACACTATCACTAATATACATAACATGTGAAAATGAACGCGTGAGATAAAAAAGAATAAATGCAAGAAACAGAAGTGAAGTATTAAAAACCATTGTAAAATTTTTATTTTAATAACAAAAGTTAGAGCGTAAATAAGGCGATTCATGGGTGAGTTAAGCGAGTGAGCAAGTGATGAGAGAATAATGTTTTTTCGGACACATACCCACACTATTTAAATTATTCAAACCAACTTAGACTCTTAGATTATTTTTTTATCGATTGTTAAAGTAATTAACGTTTATTAAAAAATATATATAAAAGGTTACATTTAGTGGAGTTGAAACAACTCGATGATATCAACAATTATCAGTAGGATTTAAACATTTTTATTCCTTTCTCAACATCGATGTGGTACTTATTTGAAAATTTACAGAGTTCTATACACGCCTCAATGCCTTAGATCGGCTGATAATCGACTCGAGTGCACACGGTATTGACCTGAACCGGTTATTCCAAACCGTCGGAACAGATTACAATGCACTAGCCATTGTGCAGCACACAGTTTTGAATGCAACTCGTTCAAGGTCCTCCATACCCTTTTTTCGCATTCGCCTCGGGACTGCCGACAATGACCCTCGCGGAGCAGTGATCCCGCCAGACTGTGGCGATTGGATCGCAGACGATTGATGAATTCCACGGGCAACCTTGGGACTCCTTATAGTCCTGTTCTAGCACCTGTAATAAGAAACATACTTTACGAGTCATTTGTCCTGTGACTCGGGCTGCAGCTTCGTCGACTTCCCTTGCTTTCGAATTTTTTTCTTGACGGAGCCTTTGCCACTCTGATTCTGCTTCGGAGTCCCTCGGGTGGCAGCCCTTGCCATCCCATCGGCGATTGCGTTTCCTGCGATGCCAAAATGTCCGGGGATCCAGACGAATTTTATGAACTTGTCTGGATTTTTCTCGACATAAGTACGATGCAATTTTTTAATTTCTTCGATTCGATCTTGAGATTTTTTCCTGCTGTCGAGTTTCTTTTTACTTTGGCCTTGTGAGCGCTGTACAGCGCCCCCGAACTGCCACGTGCTGTCGAGTTTCTGCAAAACCTCCATGGCGTCGCTAAAAATTATAAAATTTTTTCCGCTGCAACTACAGCAGTGCTTCAACGCTATCACGATGCCCTCGCATTCGGCTTCGAAAACCGTCAATTTTCGATCGATGCTAACCGAGATCCGTATTCCTGCTCGTCCCGTATCGTCGTTGCTAGCAACGTAGGCCGCGGCGCCGACGTGGGGAGCACCTCTACACCTGCTCCCATCTGTGTATATCGCTTCGGCTCCGCCAATATTTTCGATGTACTTTTTGACCGAGGCGTTCGGATCGTCGGTCCCTTGGCTTTCTTTTACTTTGAGGCCGAACTTCAGGTCTACCGCCGGAAATGATTTCAGCAATTTGACCATCTTCTCGTTGTCTTGCTGCATTGCCCACTGCAGAGGTGTAGATCCTTCCTTGTTGCCCAAATTTTTATCAGCACCTGCACTTAGCAGCAATTTGGCCATTTTCTCATTGACCTGCTGCAGTGCCCATTCCAAAGGCATCAAGCCTTCCTTGTTGGCCAAATTTTGATCAGCACCTGCACTTAACAGCAATTTGGCCATTTTCTCATTGCCCTGCTGCAGTGCCCATTCCAAAGGTGTCACTCCTTCCTTGTCGGCCTTGTTGGGATCGGCGCCTTTACTCAGCAGCGTTTCGGCCATCCTCTCGCTGTTGTTCCGCAGCGCCCAATGCAGAGGCGTCGCGCGCCTTCCTTGTCGGTCCTGTTGGGATCGGCGCCTTTACTCAGCAGCAAAAGGGCCATCGACTTCTGTTCGTATTCCACGGCCCCGTGTAGCAGCGTATCGCCGGTCAGCGGCGCGCAGCAATGGACGTCGTGGCCGTGCTCGAGAAATTTCTCCGCGACGAGGTAGCATCCAGCCATGCAGGCCACACCGAGATGCGTCAATCCGGCTCCGTTCGCGTAGTTCACCTCGACGCAGTCGTATATTCGAAAGAGTTGAAAGGCCACCTTGTCCCAGTCGGGAAATTCGTAGGCGGCCACGTGGTGCACAGGCGTTTTGCGACGCGTCACGAGCTTGCCGTTCGCGTCGCGTGGGGGCTCGTCCCTGTAGCCGCTGTCAGCCACGATTCGGATGAATGGTTTGGCCAGATCCACGTAGCCGAGGTCGCAGTAACGCACGGCGTCCGTGAGAAGCAATTCCATCGTTTCGTCGCCGACGTGGTCTCGTAGAAACGTACGATTGCACGTCAAATTCTTGATCTCGTAGCAAATTTTCTCGAATAGACGAAATCGATCTATTTCGAACTCCGTAGTAGCGTACGAATTACACAATTCTTTGAATCTTTCTGCGGTTTCTATAGCGTCGATATACGCACGATGCTTACCACGGTCAGTGGTAGCCACCATTGGTAGCCACCAATGTCCAATATCGTCGAACGACATTGTCACTAAAATCACTTGACGTAATAGACGAGATAGTTCGTACTCACTATTCACACGCACTACAAACTATTATACGAGAATGAGACACGCAGCTCGAAGCTGTAACACGCAGTACAATTATAGAGAATCACTGGTTCCTCACACTTCGACGCCGCAACGAAAACTGATCGTGCGATACATGTAAAAATGAAACACGCGGTCGTAGCGGCTAGTTATAGCTTAAACTGATGTACATTAGAAAGTCAAAAAAGTAAATAGCATTTAGAAGTGTAGCGGCCACCCGCATGTATATAGCTTCTGTAGGATAATACAAGAAGCACATGGCTGGGTATAGGCCACGCCCCTACTCCGCTATAGACTTTACTTTCTAAAACTATAGCCGAGTTAAGACCCGAAAATTCATGACGTTTGTACAAGCGGCCGGCGTGGACGCACGCACACGCGCATTTTCGAGTCTTAAGATCAGAGAAAAAGTGAAAGTTCAGCCAACATGTGTTACTACTGTACACATCTCGAGTTAACTTGCATCTATTACTTGTATCTACGACTTTGTGTTTTTTACTCTCCGAACATAGAACGTAGTGCATATAAGTTACAATATGAATTACCGAACGATATAGGCATAAATGTAAGAATTTAATTAATTTCTCAATGATACGCAGCAAATATTATTGCGTAAATGAGTTTAGCTTCCTTCTTTTAATGATTGATTTTGTTAGACACATCTCGATAATATAATCAACAGTATACGAAAGGTCTATTTTAAAAGTTCACGATACGTTCGTAATTCACTGATAACAATAAATACGTTTACTTTATAATGTTGGCCGACTAAGCTCTATAATACGAATGCAACAATGCGCTCATTTTTTCACATACTTTTCAGCGCCCACGTCGCCAGTACACACATAATATCGATTCATCGAGAGAATGTACTACACGCATACGTCACATGAATACGCGCACGAGAAACGAACAACGAAACGCGCGTATTTGATACGAATTCGAGCTCATGATGCGGTCAATCTCGCGTTCGCGTATACACTCATACGCATACTACGCCATGTGGCGAGCATATACGTGTAATCAGTCATCGATCGGCCACCTCGAATGTCAAAAGCCATATATAGGCAGGCGCGCGTCGATACGTTAATGAATAAGCCCGCGCGCGAGCGCGAGAGGTATATAATTTCAAGCTGCGCGCACACACACACAAACGCATGTGTATGTGTGTGCTGACATTACGCGTACACGTATAATATATGTATTTTAATAGAATAATACTCAA